AAGCTAATTTAAAAATGAATTTAAGGTAATTTACTAGTTTTTTATGAAATATATGAATATTCATATATGAATATTCTCATATGAATATATGAATATTCATATTTTCATATATGAATATATGAATATATGAGTGTTGTATGAGTATTCTTATATGAATGTAAATGTGTAAAATTTTGGTTTTGTATCAGGTTGAAATAAAAGCTGAAGAGAAAGAAATAAATTGCAGTTGTGAACATTTTAAGCGTATGGGTGTTTTATGCAGACATGCTTTTACAATAATGATGAGATGTGGTGTTAAAGAAATTCCTGAAAGGTACATTTTGAAAAGATGGAGAAAGGATGTGATATCAAGAAATTATCGTTTTAGTTCTCTTCAATCTGATTCAAGTGATTGTGAGAATGTAAAGCTAGTGAATGATTCATATTATAGTTTTGAAAACATGTTTGGATATTGTAAGAGACGAAAAAAAGAAATTGATTTTGTTTGCTGAGAAACAACAAATGATGTTGAAGGAATTTGACAGTGATTATATATCTGCTGGATTGAAAAGCAAGACAGATGGTGAAGTCGTATGCAAGCTTTTGGGTGTTACTATTCCTATTCCAAAAGAGATTAATATTCATGTTCCTGAAGTTCAAAGCAATAAAGGTTCTGGAATCAAGAAAATAATTCCAAGTGCAGGTGAAGTAGCATATGAAAATTCTAAAAAAGAACATAGTATGTGTTCAGGATATGGAAAACGAGTTCCACACAATTTACGTACTTGTCCAGAAAGAGTTGGAGCTGCTAAATCAGCAAAAGACAGTTAGAGATTTTTTAGTTTTTTTTTTTTTTGGTTTTATTCATTTATGAATATATGCAGATAAAAACAATAAACAATAATAGTCATGCATGAATAATACACATTTATATTGATACGGTAAATTGATATGTTGATATATTTGTTTTTTAAATTATCATAAATAAGTTATATTTATATGGTAAATTATTCATAAATGAATAATACCATATCAATAATATGTGGATTCATTTATCATTAAAGATGTTATTATTTACATATTAAAGGTAAATGAATATAACATGTTTGTGTTCAATTATGATTAAACTAAAATAAAATTGAGAAATGTATATACCATAAATGAATACAAATATGTATATTCATATATGAATTTTGTTATATTCATATAGTAATAAATAAGTTATATTCATAAATGAATACAAATGTGTAAGATGACAAAAAGAAATTGGATTTGTTTAATGAGAAACAACAGATGATGTTGAAGGAATTTGAGAGTGAGAGTGGTTATACATCCGCGGGATTGAAAATCAAGACAGATGTTGAAGTTGTATGTAAACTAATATAAATGAATATAAATATGTGAAATTGTTATACTAATAAATAAGTTATATTCATATGTGAACTTTTTTATGTTAATATCTGAACTTTGTTATACTAACATATTACTTTGAATATAATTATAAATGAATATATCATATTCATATTCATTTATGAATAAACAGAAATAAAATTTGAAAATATTTGAATATAAAAAAATGACAGAAATAAGCTAACTTGTTTCTACTAATAAATAAGTTATATTCATATCTGAAATTTGTTATATTCATATATGAAATTTGTTATACCGACATATTACTACTAACTTAATCATAAATGAATATATCATATTCGTATTCATTTATGAATAAGCAGAAATAAACTTTGAAAATATTTGAATATAAAAAAATGACAGAAATAAGAAAACTTGTTTCTATTACATAATCATTTATCACAAGATTATAAAACCTGTTCATAAGCATTTCACAAACTATTTAAATGATGTTCAATAACATTTAACAAACCATCTAAAACTTGTACTTCAAATTCATTCATCTTCAAACACAAACTGTTCTATAGCATCACACTTCATCACAAGCAGTCATCAATATTCTTTTAACCTTTTTTGAATTGTTTGCATAGCCTTATATGCATGATCAGTACGCACTTTGAATTCAATTTTTTGATATTTTTCAGCAAGATCTAACACCTTAGCCTTAAACATGTTAATTTCAGAAGTTAGCATTCGGTGTGCATACCTTTGCCTGAGCTTCTCTAAAGTAGTTTGTTGAACTGCACTTTCTTTATGAAGTCTTGGTTTCCACTTTGAGAGTGGTTGTCCCATATAGGTCTCCATATGTCTCATTGCAAAGACCCCACAATCAACTTTGTTTTTAACTGTTCTCCATTTCATTTCAAGTCGTTGGGGTGTGATACTTTCTTTTGAGATTGCATTTGCTCTTGGATGGTTTATTTCTTTAAAGTATCTCACAAACAAATTTTTCTGATCATTAAATAAAATAAAAGTTGGATATGTAATAAATTGGTTCTTTTATGTTCTTGTGAATTCGGTACATACCAAAGGTTTCAATAGTACTCCGTATTTCCCTTCATAATCCCCCTCAACTGCACTGTTGTCCAGAATTTCAATTGATGGTTTCTTTAAGTTGAAGACAATCACAAAAATGTGAGCACTTCTAACAACTGGAAAGAATACCTGTTTATATAATGGTAAGTATTTTGTTGATAAATATATATATATATATATATATATAAAACAAGTTTAATTAACATACCATGTCAATATATTTTATGTTCAAGATTTTTTTTGTACCCATCGGTACTGTCATGAAAGTTCTCCTTGAATTTTTCATACTTTCTTTCATCAGACAATGTTGAAGTTAGATAAGCAGTCTGTAACCAATATAATTTTAAAGTATTAGTCAATTGTTAATCATAAATGAATACATCATGTTGGTATAATAATCATAAGTATATACTAAATATATTTATTTTTGATTTTTTTATTCAAAGATGAATACATAATGATATGTGAATTTCAATTGAATATACATAATTATATTAAAGAATACATCATATTGGTATAATCATATGTGAATTTCAGTTGTAAAAAAAATACAATATTCATAAATGAATACATCATATTGGTGTATTCATTTATCAATAAAGAAGAAATTAAGGTTAGAACATAAACTTACAGAAACTGCAACTTTCAAGAAGAGTCTGTATGGTGAATTTCTAAAATCCCTTTCCAGTTCTTGGTGGTTAAGTAAATCAGCCCAAGTGTCTAAAACTTCTCCAAAAATCTTTGTGCTTGCATATGGACTTTCCATAAATGCTCTTTCTTTTAACTAACAATATTTTGTCTGGACAACCACATCTCTGCAAATATATAATCAAAATGTCATATATTATTATCTATATAATAATCATATAGGGATGTCTATAAAATAAAGTAACTTGCGATGTATTCCCTTGCAAGTTGAACAACCACTCACAGACAATACTCTCCTGATGTGTCAGTTTAGGTTTTGTGTCTATTATTATGCATTTGAAAGGTGATTTGATAGCATCGGCAAGCTTCTTATCTCTTGGTTTATCCAGATCATGCTTTGATGGTTCTACTTCAATAGGAATTGCTACAGAGATTGGCTTTGGATTAAGAACATTTTTGTTTGCTAATCTGATAACAACTTTCTGATTGTGGTCTTTGATTTGTTTCTTTGTAAGTGGTTTTTTTGGTGAAGATTCATTAGATTTTTTACTTGAAGTTTGATCTGAATCTTGACTGAGACCTAAACTAAAACTTGCATGAGTATCTGTATGCCAGAAGATTTATCATGTAAATAGTTGTAAGTTAATTATAATATTTTATTTTTATATTTTGAAATGTTTTCCAATTGTTACCTCCTTCATTCCCTTTTGTTTGTCAGCTTTTTGTCCGTTCATTGTTTTCATTTTCTGACTTTTTCTTTCCTGAAAGATAAAGAAATTTGATTAAGTTATCCATTTGTGAATAAGTAATGTATTCATTTATGAATAAGTAATGCATATCATTATTTATGAATAAGTAATATTATATTGTTTTTATTTTTTTGTATATTGTGTTATTATATTTGTGAAAATAAAATTATTATATTCATTATTAGTGATTCAACTATTTACCTTTATCTTCTGCATTTCCTTTCTCATTTTTGTTTGTTTTTTTCACCTCCATCTTTCGTGTTCTTAGCTTCTGTTCCTTGTTTATTTGTTGTTCAGAGTTTTCCTTGCCTGAAACATATACATCATATATGAATATGTTTTATTTTTTTACTCATTTATATAGTGTATTATTCACTTATGAATAAACAATGTATTTAAAAAAATCAATATAAATATTGTAATATATTTTAAATCATTCATTTACCTGTATCATCTCTGTTTGTTTTTTCAACTTCTTTTCCTTCTTCATGTGCACCTTTTGATTTTTCCTTTTCTGCAAGAGTATTACTTTTACTTCTACTCATTGGTGACACTGGTCAAAATTTAATAAACAAAATTGTTATTGTTTATTAATATTTTTATATATTTTTTTTAAAATAAAAGTAAGACAAAATTTACCTATATCAATATTATCCAAAATAGTTTTCATTTCAGGGTCATTCCAGATTTCATCTTCTTGACTATTTAAACTTGAAATTCCAATCCAAGGACATTATCCACAATGTTGTCAAAACTTTATCCAACAAATTTTCATTTTCAGTTTGTTTAATAGTCTCTTCATGATTATTTTTTCTTCAGCATCATGATCTTTTTTCTCTTCATCATTGTCATTTTCATTGTTCTTTCCATCTTTCTCTTTTACTTCAGTTTTACCTTCTTTTTGATTCTTATCTCCATCATTCTTTATTCCTTCATTCTCTGCTTCATTTGAATCAAGCAAGTAATCCACTTCCGGTTGACTTCCATCATTATCATTTTCTTCTTCTCGATTTCCTTCATCATCTTAATTTTCTTCTTGATCATTTGTTTTTTGACCCATTATGAATTGATACCTCAACTCCAGTTTCATTACTTGGAAATTCAAAAAAGGTTGTGCTTTCAGTTTTTCTTCAACAATTGTATTTGTCATCTTTTCTTTGAAATCCTAAACTTTCCTTTTCAAGGAACTTTGTTATCATCATTGAGCTTTGAATTCAGCTTTTCCTTCATCCTCTCAAACTATTAAGCATTTTAGATATTTTTGATTCATATGCCTATGTAATATAAAAAGAAGTATGATTAGAGTTTAATGTAATCATATATTATTAACATGTTCAAACTAATTACCTCAACAGAATGAGCTTCATCTTTATCAGAATCACTGTCTTCGAGATTTGTCTCTCCTTCATCTTGTTCATTAACAAATTCTTCATTTAATTCTCCAAGTCCAAATCTACCTTTTTCTTGTTCAAATGTCTCTCGATATCTAATCTTCTCGAAACTCCAATAACAAATTGTTGGACGTTTACGTGTTACCGTTAAAGCTTCTGAGCGGATGTTATCAGCATAGAACAACTGCACATAAATGATAACTAATTGATATTCATATATGAACAAGTAAATATTAGTTTTTACTTATTCATATATGAATAGTAATGTAAAGCATAACGTGTGAAGAAGAATATATTTTTATATTCATATATGAATATGTGCTATTAGTTTATGAATAATAAATATTATTAAAAATTGAGTATAAACATTATAAAAACTTACCACCAAGAAAGTTGAAGGTCCAGCAAAGAAGCTGGTATCTGAGTATGGTATGTATGAGTTCTTTGTTCTGACAAGACAGTCTAAAACATAGCTGCACCAGTCTATGTTGCTGATATCTGTTTTTCTTGAAAATAACTCAAAGGAAACATGTTTCATCTTCCCATTGATGTTGACTCACAAAACGTCTTGACAAAAAGAACTAAGAAGTTCAATTGTAAATTGAAATATACTTGTGTGGTAGAAACAATAACATTTTTTATTGCACTCAGTCGGATGATTGAATCTTTTTTAAATTGTTGCTTCCATTCACCATAACTTGTATCATCCTTAGGCCATTGATCCATTGTGTAAGTATGGTTCCACACCATTGGTATGCCCAACATGTCATGAACAGACTCTGCTGTTACTTTCAGTTCCTTTCCTTCAATATCTATCACCATTCTCTCAGAATCAAATTTTTGAAGAACATAAAAATCCCAGCTTCAGTGGTATATCTGTGATTTCATTTTTAATAAAGCTCCAAAACCCATAGATCTTACACATTCTTTTTGTTCTTGCTCAACCAAGGATTATAGATAGTAATGACTCTGGTGAACATCTGTTTTTCATTGAGTAAAATTCCTTTACCACTGGTTTTTTTTGTCTTTCTTGATTGGTGACTCCTTTTTTTTGCCTTTTT